CTCTCCACCATAATGACCCTGGTGGACCGCTGCATGCGTGCAAACCCATCAAAAAGCAAATCTCATCAGTTTTGTCACTTGATTAGTCCTTATTGTGAGTTGATTTTATCCTGTAACGAGTGCAAATTTTCTCATAATTTAGGGGTTTCCTGGCTGGTGAACCAGTCCTTGGGTTGGAGAGATCCTTCAGACACCACCTTTCACAGTCTCTCGAATTTTGGTTTAGGTGAGAGCTCACCTTGCTGGTCATCTTCTTGGCTCACAGTATCAAGGGAATGGGTCCTTTGCATTCTCTCCATTCTGATCCTCTAGGAAGCGGAGTTGGAGAGAGGGGGCATTTCATGAGCAGCTTCAAGAGGAAGTAAACGTCTTCTCTAAGTTCATTTCTTGTGGAGTGTCAATGCTCTGCTCAGTCTGGCCAGCTGAGTCTGAAGGAGGACTCCACTGAGGCACTGTTGGGATTATGTTGGAGGAACTTGGCAAGGATTCTTCCTCCAAGGCCACCTCCTCCAAAGGTTCTGTGTCCTCTTGCATGAATATGGCCTTCTCTGTGGAAATCTGCTCCTAAATAGAGAAGAAAAAAAAAAAAAAAAAGAAAAGAAAAGAAAAATAGTTACTAGTAGACCTTGTTTTCATACTTTTCTTCAAGGTATAAAAAGTAAAGCCATATTAATATGCTGATCTGTAAAAGGCTCAAGTCAACAACTTCTGACATTGCCAGTCCTACAGATAACCTAATACTATTATGGACTACTGGACTATATTGGATTATTTTGCTGAATTCACACACCAGCAATATTTAAATGGCAATGGAATACCCATCTCTGACAAAACTAAAAAGGAGATACAAATAAAGGACCATTTTGTACTATATTCAAAACAGTTGAGATGGACATACAGTTATTTTCTCTTAATTCAATGAATAGAAAGATTTGTGCTAATAGCGTTTGTGGACAGCATATCATGTCCGAATCTTGTACTATGAATAACCACTAAGTAGACAACAATATGTAATGTATTAATTATTGAAACTGTCCTACTAATTGGTTTTGAAACTGTCTCATTGACACTTGTTTCTCATAAAATTATTAAAAAATAAAAAATTTTTAAAAAGTTACTAGATTTTCAGGAATGAAGAGAACACAATACTGCTAGTTTCATGCCAAAGACAAAAAAAAGCTAAAGCAGACGTGTTAATAAACCACGAAACTGAGCATACTAGGACCAAAGTGATTCAACAGTTTAACTTCTCCAGTACATACTCAACATCTCTATGGTAAAATAGCATAATAGCAAAGAAAAACTTTCAAATCATGGAGTATGCGCTAATAAAACAATGGATTGAGACCGGGGAGATGGCTCAGTGGAATGAATGCTTCCCTGGCAAGCGCAAGGGCCTGAGTTCAATCCCCGGTTCCGCAAAAAAAAAAAAAAAAAAAAAAAAAAAAAAAGATGTTTAGCAAAAATGAAGGATAAAGGTTTTGCTCTTTCGGGTCCTCTTTTCCAAGATGACGAAAAAAAGAAGGAACAACGGTCGTGCCAAAAAGGGCCGCGGTCATGTGCAGCCTATTCGCTGCACGAACTGCGCCCGGTGCGTACCCAAGGATAAGGCTATTAAGAAGTTTGTCATTTGGAACATAGTGGAGGCCGCCGTAGTCAGGGACATTTCCGAAGCGAGTGTCTTCGACGGTTATGTGCTTCCCAAGCTGTATGTGAAGCTGCATTATTGTGTGAGTTGTGCCATTCACAGCAAAGTGGTCAGAAATCGATCTCTTGAAGCCCGTAAGGACCGAACTCCTCCACCCCGATTTAGACCTGCTGGTGCTGCCCCACGACCTCCACCAAAGCCCATGTAAGGGGAGCTGAGTCTTAATGGACTGAAGAAAACTCTTGAGAAAGAAATAATAAAATTGAATGTTACACTTTAAAAACAAACAAACAAACAAACAAACAAACAAAAAACCAATGGATTGAAAACCAGGCCTCAGCCTTTTTGAAACCAGGTATTTGAGTATGAAAGACAAAATGTAAAAGTGATCAATAGCAAGAAATAGTTTGTAATTCATTTCGCATAAACTAGAAACTAGAGCCTAGAATCTTGTATGATTTGATGTACTTCCACCTCTTTGCCATTACCTAGCTCTTTTTTATTTCCTTTTTTTTTCTTCCAGTACCAGGGATTGAACTCAGGACCTTGTGCTTGCCAGGCAAGCACTTATTCCACTGAGCTATCTCCCCAGCTCCAATCTAGCTCTTTTGATTGACTTGGAAATTAACTCACACCTTAATGACTGACTCTTCCTTCACGGGTAAGGGATCAGCTCGCCTTTGTCTTAACTCACTCTTGAGTTCTTTATTTCTTTCTAACACAGGGAATTAATTTGGAAAACCACAGTTTGCATATGACTCTATGGAATATTGAGAACATGAGCATATTTTAAGCAAAATACTGGCCTGCATATTGTCTTCCTTTACAATGGTCTATGCCTTACATCGTCAAAAGAATGAGATACCTACCCAGGCATGGCGGGACCTGCTGCCTATAATCCCACGACTTTAGGAAGCTGGGGCAGAAGGATTACAAATTTGAGCCCAGTCTGGGCAACTTAGTGAGACACTGTTTCAAAACAAAAAATAAAAAGTGGGCTGGATTGTAGTGAAGGTCCTGGTTTTGATCCCCAGCACATGGAGAAAAGAAAGAAAGAAAGGAAGGAAGTATAAGTAAAAGGTATACCTTTTACTTATCTAAAATTTATTTTCTTTCATTGTTATTGTTGCTGTTGTATTCCTGGGATTGAATGCAGGACCTCTACACTGACCTACATTCCCAGGCTTTCTTTTTTTTTTTTTTTTTTTTCCTGAGACAGGGTTGTGCAAAATAAGATGCCAAGGCTGGATTCAAATTTGTAGTCCTCCCTCTGTGGCCTCCCAGACTGTCTCTTAACCCATCACATTTCCCTCTAGCTGGTGGGGTTACAGGAGCCCCAGTTTATCTAATTCTTGCTAAGGACTTTGCTACAGGGTACAGTACCTTCTCATTGTAACACAAAAGAAGAATATAAAATACTGGTATGAGCAAAGTTTACTTTAATAAAGTTACCATAAAATGAGGGTGGAATTTTGGAGTATTCTCATACTTGCCTATTTCTGTTAACAATGACAGAGATGATCAGAGTGGGCAGTGAGGTGGCATAAGATTTGCTTAATGATTTTCATTTCAGCCAGCCCCAAACAACTGCTCAAATAATGGATCTTTGAGAGAGAGAGTCCCTTTTGACCATTGACAAAAAATAGCACAAACCATCTCCCTCTTAACTTCTCATTTTTAAAATCTATTCAGCCTTAAGAAATACATCTATTATTTATGAGGATATTGAATATAATATTATAAATGTAATTGAGCTTAATATTTCTATATTTTCAAAAATTGGCTTTTGAAACTAGCAAAACAGTGAATTGGATAGGACTGCATTCAAGATTTTAAGGCGCAGAATACAGCAACAGTGAAGAAATCAGATACCAACAGTAATTAAATGCATTTTCAGGGATCATGTACTTTGTAGAAAGCACAACATGGAAAAAGAATAGAAAATATTTTAGGAGATAAATGATGTGTTCATCAGACTGATGAATGCAGAGCTGTTTCCAGCTATTCTGAGTTAATAATTGTTATGACTGATGTCTAGATGTAGTCCTGCAGCCATGGGCAGGCTTCTAGAGTCTTTGATTAACCCATGGTCCAATGCTGGGATTTGAGCATGAGTGCTACGCTTTTATGGGGTGGGCAGCCTGCATAAAATATAAGGCAGGGAAAGAGGATTGCTTTCTGCTCCTCTTCCCTCTTTGCTCTTGCTGCTTTTCTTGTTTCCTGCTGCCATGTGCCAGTCTGCCTTGAAGCCAGCCAAACATGGATTGAGACCTCCACAAACTGTGAGCTGAATAAACCTTTCCTTCTTTAATTTTGGGTGTCAGGTATTTTGTCCCAGCATTGAGAGAAAAGTAAATGAGGCAATAATTTATGTTCATTATTACAACAGCATACAGGAGGCATCTGAGGCTTGATATAAGTAAATAGGATATAATATGAAAATAATAAAAATTAAATAAAATGTAAATATTTAAATTCAAACTAACAACAGCCATATTTAGTTTTTGAAAAATACTGAATATTTTTTGAAAAGGAACTTATATTAAAAACATTTATTCTAAGTGAACAAATTTTAAAAAATCTGGCCTAGGTTCAGTGGTGCACACCTTAATCCCAGCTACTTGGGAGGTTTGGGCAGGAGGATTGCAAGTTAGAGGTCAGTCTGGGCAAGTTAACATGACCTTATCTCAAAAACAAAGCAAAATCAATCAACCAACCAGCAAAACAAACAAAAGTTTGCTGGAGATATAGCTTAGTGGTACAAGGTCTCTGGGTTCAATCTCTGTACTGAAAAAAAAAATCTGAATTTTTAAGCCATTATCATCAATGGTATTTCCTGGAATCTACAACGAGCCTTCATGTGTCCTTTTTATTCATAATAATTGTCAATAAATTGATTTTGATATACAAGTGTGACTATGGAGGGAAAACGGGTAGAGAGAGCCTTAGGGTGCTCTGCCCAGATTGCCTCCTGGATGCCCTAGGTCGATCACCAGGCCCTGCTGATTCCCACCTCTCACCTTGTGATGCTCTGCATATTTCTGCTGGATTTGATATTCTTCTTGTTTCAGCATTTCCATCATTTCCTGTTCCTTCAGACCACGGTGATATTCCTCCTGCAGTTCAGTCTCCTCTTGCCTATTCTGCGGGTGATGCCACAGTCAAATCCAGTCAGCACAGAAAAGTCTTAGAAATAGTCCTTCCCACTGGAGACAGCTCTAGGACCCTTAAGCACATGGAACTTCCTTCTGTAGCTAGAGTCAGCCTTATGGGAGTTCCATGCTCACCAACTCCACCACCTACCTCATGTATTCTGTGTTTAGCCCTCAGACTCTCCACACTCCAGAGATAGCTAGGCCTAAACAATCCCTGCCAAGTGGATGAACCACAACTCCCACAAGCCAGCTCTAAGCTCATGCCTTGGGTTTCAGATTACTCCGAGGAGGCTGAGCCCTCACCAAGCAGACCCAGCTCACAAACATACCTTTTCTTTGTCTGTCTCAAGTTTTCTGTAGTGATAAAGCCAGTGAGCCAGGTACTCTATTGGGTCACTGGGCTTAACCTTTGCCACCTCCGCCAGTGCCTGGGACAGGCTATTTCTGAAGCACCTTTTCAAGTACTCAGTTTCCATCTTGGGAGCCTAGGAAATAGCAAAACAGGGAGAGTAGTTTACAAATGTAATCTCATTTTTAAGATAGATGCACTTTAAAAATAACATTGATTTATTTAAGGATAAACAGGAATATCCCAGATTCCACCTATGTTAGTTAGCATTCCATTAGCATGAAAAAATATGAGATAACCATTTGACAAGGAGGAAGCATTTACTTGGCTCATGGTTTCAGCCCATGTTGCTTGGACCTGTTCCTTTGGATAATTAAACAAAACATGATGGTAGGGAACATCTGGAGGGTAGAGGATCTTACTTTATAGCAAAAGAGAGAGGAAGGGGCCAAGGTCTCACAGTCTCCTTCAAGGATACATGCACAGTGACCTAGCTTTTATTTACTAGACCTCACCTCTTAAAGGTTCAGCCAGCTTCCAATAGTGTCACTGGCTTGGGACTAAGTGTTTTAGCACATGACCTTTGGGAAATAGTCAAGATCCAAACCATAACATTCCACCCCAGCCCCAGAGTCTCATGTCCCTCTCATAATGTAGCATGCATTCAGTCCAACCTCAAGAGTCCTCAAACAGTGTTAGTCTTGCTCAAAAGTCAAAGTCCTATGTGTCCTCTGAGAATCAGGGCAAATGTTAGCTGTAAGCCCCTATAAAAATCAAAAGACCATGTATTCTGGTTTAAATATAAAGCATGCCTCAAAAGTCTCACATCTTGGAAGGTGATCTGATCATGGAGTGGTAAACTCACCTGTGGACTCATCCCTGGATGAGTTCATAGGTGAACGTGCTGCGAGAGGTGGGGCCTGGTTAGAGGTGGTGCCTGGGAGCCTATCTTAGTTACTGTTTACTCATTGCTGAGACAAATACCCAACACTCAAAATGAAGGAAGGATAGGTTTATTTAGCTCACAGTTACTGGAGGGTTCAGTCCATATTCTATTGGCTCCAAGGCAAATGACAGCAGTTCATGTGGCAGAAAACAATGAAGAGTAGAGGAGGAGCAGCAGCTGCGGCATCCATCAAGCCTTTCTCTTCCTTCTACACTGACTGCGAAGACTGACATTGCATGGCAAAGATTGTAGCTCTTCCAAAGTGGAGTGGCTGACAAGATCAAGCTCCTCCAAAGACTGAGACTTCTCCACGTAAGCTGGGCAGGGCGGCAGGAAGCCTTTCTCAATTCCTGGGCCCTGCCCACCTTCAGGGCTAAGCCCCCATGCTGAGATCTGCCGGAGCTGATTCAGCCAAGTTGATACAATGTATGAACTAACACAGAGCCTTACCTAGCAGGGTATATAGTGGCCCTCCACTCCCCACCCCTGCTTCCTGACTGCTGTGGCTTGAGCCCCTCTGCCATCCTCCTTGTGCCTTGGAGCCTGCTGACCATAGACTGAGCCCGTGCACTCCAAAGCAAATGCTTTCTCCATCAAGTTGTTGCTTTTGGGTGTTGTGCCTTGGCAATAGGAAAGGGACTAAGAAATCAAGTTACATTCTAAGATACAACACTATGGGGTAATTTTAAAAAGGAGAAATAAGACCATAAGAATCATTGACAACTGAAACCCAGTAGTGAATACATTAAACCCTGTAGCTCTATTCCCAGTATTTGGGGTACACTGTGGCATGATATGTGCTCCCAAGGGCTTGGCCAACTCTATGGTCTTGCTGGCTGCAGCTCACATGGCCTAACGGTCTGTCCTTTGGGCTTGCTCTGCTTACTACAGTCTGCATCTCCAGCATCTCTCAACTTCCTTAGGCCTCCACGGTAGCTTCAACTAAACTCTCACAGGTTCACATGCTTCCCTATAGGAGCTGCTCACAGGGACTCCAATTCTGCCACAATATTTTGGCCTCCCAGGTGTTCCTTTTAAATCTTAGTGAAAGACTGTATGACCCTAGAACTCTTGCACTCTACACGCTTATGAGACCTATATCATGTGGATGATACTAAAGTCAGCTACCAGCTCAAGCAGTAGCTGGGCCTGGCTGGACCATGGCTGCAGTGGCCTCTGAGTGTCTAGATGAATGAACATAGGGAAAGAAGTTCCTGGAAAATAGTTTTCTGTGTAGCCTTGTAATAGACCACCTCAGGGTTTGAGTCTGCTACAGATGGGGGTGGTCTTACTGATTTCTGAGATGCCCTCAAAGCATCTTTCTTATTTTCCTTGTGAAGAGTACTTTTATTTTAAAAGCAGCATTAAATTCTTTAATGACTGTACTCTCCTTGGCCACAGCTTTATTCAGGCTCCTCTTATGGCAAAACTGCTAGTTTTTCAAACATTTCTGCTTTGGTGTTTTCTCTGGATTCTTAGTATAAATCTGTCTAAAATCAGCCAGCAGTACACAGACCAATTCCTGAAAGCTCTGCTGCTTGGAAGTAACCTCTTTTAGTTGAAACTAGTTCATTACCTTTAAATGCTGGTTTACACAAAGTCTCAGGGATTAAACAAAATGTAGACCAGTTGTTTTCCAGAAAGTAACATGCCGGGTCTCTAATCCTATGCCCAGTAGTTTCATTCCTATCTGAAATCTCACAAACCTGAGACTTTTATCATTCCTATGTGCATTTGGAGCCCTTGCCACAATTGCTTTTCAAGTTCTGCTCACAGCATCCCAAGCTTTTTTGGCCTCCCCCTTCAAATGTTTCTAAATTCCTCCTGAAAATCAGTTCTATAGGCATCTTAACTGTATTGTCAAGGATTATTACAACAGTTACTCTACTTCTTACTGATCAATTACTGGCATCAATTTTTGGTCTTAGCCACTGTTCAATCACTGTGACAAATCAACTTAAAAGAGGAAAGGCTTGTTTTTGATTCATGGCTTCAGAGGCTTTGGTCTATGGTTGCTTCCATTGCTTTGGGCCCGTGATAAAGATTCCAGCATGATGCTATTACATATGGTGGAACAAAGTTGCTTATTGTATGGAAGCCAAGAAGCAAAGGGAAATAAGAATGTGTCAGGGTCCTGCAATCCCTGTCAAGAACACATCCCTAATGACTTAAAGTCCTTCCACTTGGAACCACCACTTTAAGTTCTTACCACCTCCCAGTACTGCTACAGGCTGTGACCATACCTTTTCCACATGGCCTTTGTGAGACTTTGAGTTCCACATTATAACACTACCCTTGTCAAAAGAACAAGCCAATACATACTTTCCAATCATACTTATATTCAAATGGACTTTTTTCTAACACTCTTAAGTTAGATCAGACAATAAGATCTCAGGGGTCATCAGGACTGATGGAGCTCAACGCTCTGGGGGTTTGCAGTGGCTAAAGCTTTTATCTTACCCACACGTTTCCAACCTTCAGTAGTCAGAAAATGCCTAAGCAGGTGTGGCTGTAAACATCCATCTAAGGGCTATTGCAAAGGTGGAAGCGATAGTCTATGACATCGGTAAGATTTTACCAGGAACCATGGAATTACTCTAGGGAAGAGAGAGAAGGAAAATGCTGCGCCCTGCAGCCACTGCTAACACAATATTTTACTCTAATGCCAAAGCAAGTAGCTACTTCGAATGTGTTGGTGGTCCCAGATTTGCTATTAATCAGATTTCAAGAAAGCGAGGTAATGTAGCCCAAATAAGGTTGCTAAGCTAGAAGTGACAGTAATGCAGAGTACTAGGAACACAGACTGTAAGATCAACCAAGTTCCAGTCCTGAGAAGCTGACCCTTATGGCTGTGTGATCTTCAGCAAGTTGTTCAGTGTTTCTGAGTCTTGGTTTGAACATATAAGGAATAATTCATCAGATGAAGAAAAACTAGGCTATGTGCCTCATAATAGATGATTAGTAGAGATAATAAACAGTTGAAACTCATCAATGAATGACTGCTGATTAATACAGCACACCACGATCCAGTCCTCTTGCAAACACCAGACTTCTGCAAGACATTTTACACCTAAACTGTAATGATCACGGAGGCCTTTGTGTAAGGATTGATAGAATCTTGGGATAGTTCTTGTTATCAGGCATACATGGAAGAGATTGCCCTCCATCGTAACCACAGGGCTTTATTGATGGACCGACTGTTAGGACTTGACATGAGTGACTCTACTTTGATTATGACAACTTTCATGATGTGAACTCATAGAACACAATACTTACCCATGAATGCATATGAAAGCAAGTAGATAAATGGGAGAAAAGATACAGTTCATATAGTCTTGGTTTCTACCTAGTTACAAAGGTAGGAAAACATAAAAATTTTACTGTGGCAAAATCAGGAAAACAGCCTCAGTTAAGTGATCAAATTAGACAGCCTCAATAAAAGAACAAAGTGACATCACACGCCTCCCGATGGAATTTTCTTCTTATGGAACATAGCATCTTTCCATCCAAATGCAAAATTAGATCTAATTAAAACATCAAATAAAGCCATGCTGAGAAAGTCTGCAACTCATCTGCACTTTTTCTGCTGTCAAGATCATGAAAAGAAAACAAGAAAAATGAAAGGAGACTATGCAGTCTGCTATGGCTTATATCCAGATCTCCTACGCCCGCAGCCCAAGCTTCATGTAGTCATGAGGGCTGCTTCTCAGAGGTCGCTGGATTTAGGATGTATTGCTAGGATTGAGGGTGTGGAAGACCTACCCTAGGTATGGTTGTTACCCCGCAAAAGGCTGGTAGCCTGGGTAGGATGATAGGGAAAGGCAGGCTGGTCGCTGTTGCTCCGGTTTGCTGCCTTCTGTCTGCCATACCAGGAGTGTTCCTCAACTGTGATGCTCCTCTGCCATGCCACCCTGCCTCTGGAGCCAGCCGACTACGGACTGAAACTCTACAAATTGTGAGCTAAATAAGCCTTTCCTCCCCTTAACTTTGTGTCAGGTATTTTTCTCAGCAACAAGAAAAGTAACCAAGACACAGCCATAAAAATACATTTAATACAAGATCCTAGATTTGATCTGAATGAGAAAAAAAGAATTGTATAAAGAATACTGTTCATAAAATTAGATAGATTCAATCAAATTGTAATTTATGCAATGGAACTTATCAAGATAAACTTCTTGATTTTAAATAAGTGAAGTCTAAGTAAGAGAATGTCCTTGCTCAGGGGCTGAAATGCTTTCAAAAGATGTCCATGTTTTCATATCTGAGGCCATCGATATTTTACCAAATGTAGTCAGAAAGACTATGAAGATGTGACTAAATTAAGGACATTGAGCTGAGATGTGTTATCCAAGCACCATAATGTAATCAGAAGGGTCATTATAAGAGGGACATCTAAAGGCAAAGCAGAGAAGACAGCAAGGTGACAGGTCAGAGGGGAAGAGGTGTTTGACTCAAAGCCCACACCCCACAGGTCACTTCTAGAAGCGGACAAGGGCAAGGAAGTTGTTTGTAGAGGACCCTGTCCCTGTCTTTGGTATTAGCCCTATGAGATGCATTTTGGATTTATCTGACCTTAGGAACTTAAGAAAATGCACTAGTGTTTAACATACTACATTTGGGGTGTGGGTGGAGGGTGGAGATTTGGGTGGGCAGTAACTCTGCCCAGTTGACCCTGTGGTCTACAATAACCTGGATTTTTTAAAAAATCATTTATTTATTTCTCTTCTGTACTGGTGGTTGAGCCCACAGTTTCACATTGAGTTACATCTCTAGCACTTTTTACTTCTCTCTCTCTCTCTCTCTCTCTCTCTCTCTCTCTCTCTCTCTCTCT